TCTGAGGGTTTCATGTCACTCCTGAATTCCCTCGAATCGACAAAAAATAGAGATGGTTTTCCAGGCCTTCCACGTCCCCCTGGCCTGGGCGCCTTCCGGGGCCCAGGCTCAAGCATTGGGTGTTTATGATACAAGGAAAGATAGGACTTCAGCTTTGAAGTAGGGACAGAAATTTCGGACAGCTGGGCGAGCCCGTCGTTCAAGTATATTCGAGCGGTTTTCGCGGCTCCCCACCGTCCTTGAATTAGAAGGCGGTCGAAACTGCCGTGGTGCTGAAAGAAAAAGGTGGCCCCCCCTCTTCGGAGGGAGTATGGTCGGTAGCATAGGTAGGCATATAGTCCTGGAGTTTGAGGCCCTCAATGGCTTGGTTAAACAATCGTCTCCAGGCATGGGGTTTCACAGTAAGGAAGTCAGTTGGCTTAGCTTGACATTTCCAGCGGTACAAACCCGGCAGTACTGAGGATTCGTGAATAGTCACACTCTCGGCTGCACCCTGTCGGGCGCCGGACTTCGTGAGTCCGAGTACTGGGCCCTTTGGGGCAGTGAGGTACACGTCTCTGGCCCGCACAGTTAAAAGTTCGCCAGTGCGCAACAAGCCGAAGAACGCAACTCGTAGTGAAAGGCCGAACTCAGGACAGTCCTGGAGTACACTCCGGCCACACAAAGCATTGAGCAGAGTCAGCGTTAGCGGCGGAGCCCTGTTAGGGATCTCTGCAGTGTTCCACGCCTTCATGATGCTCCAACTTCCGGGGAGCTTCTTCTTGAGGTTGGGGTCATGGTCTTGCAGCGCCGCGAGGGCGTTGTTGGCGACCGATTTTCCTTCACCACTTGCCCACAAGAACTCCAAGTAGTCGGAGACGAGGTTGTCCATCTGGGAGGCCTTTGTAGGCAGGCTTAAGCCCTCCCGTGTCAGCCAATCAAGGAATTGGCGCAGAGACTGATCATAACGGTGACGAGTACGCGGCTGAACGGTAAGATCCTTCAACTTGCCTAGACTCTTGCGAACTTGTTGACGTTGCTGTTTGCTGCGGCCTTCAACTATCTTCTTCGTGCTTTTAGCCATCCCTTCCGGACGGGCCCGCGGGACGGTTTGTCAGCCGGGTTTTTCTTTGTATCAATGTAGCCCCAGGCTACATGAAGCCCGCTAGCCAACAGCAACGCACTGATCTTTGCAAGAGTCCTTCGAAGTTTTCGGCTACTGGATCGTCCGCGCGACAGGGCGTGAAGAACAACAAGCGAATCAACGAGATGCAGGCATTTGGCGCCGAACTCTTGAAGTTCTTTAACTCTCCACACCAGGGCGGTTTTCACCGCACGCAGTTCAAGCGCATTTATATGTTCAGGTTCACCTGTCCAGTGCCAACCAACAACATCACGCCAGCGCCACAACTTGCCAGGTATCGACGCACGCAACCTGTGATAACGAGCCGGAATGTCGGTAGACAACTGAAGCAAGATATCTTCGCCCTTGACAGACACCTGCCCCAAGAGTTTTCTGGCAAGGCCATGGGTCTCCTGTCCTGGTCGCGTCGTGTGGCGAATTGGCGGACGCATAAGCAGACCTGCCATAGTGGAACGCTTTCCTGGAGTCAGCTGGTCCACAATGTCCTGGATGGTCCTTTCTTCGTTCAACCCAAGCGTAGCAAACAAGCCATGCAACAAGCAGGCAACCACAGGAACCGACCAACTGTTGCCCAAGAGCGAAAGCCTGACGTCATTGTAGTGTGCGCTCCCAACCTCTGCCTTTGGGAGACATTTGGCGGTATATTGAGATGGGAAGCCCAAGATGACCTCCCTTTCCAACGTGGATGGAACACGCACTTCACCCTGGGAGTTGCTAACAGAGTTCTCCCATCGATACTGGTACGGCGGGAACCTGTGTTGATCAGCGTGCCACCTGGTCACAGCGTCAGGCGGGCACAGAGCTAGCCCCGCAGGCTTCCGGCCGGGCGTTGCTGATGGACGAGAGGTGGTGAACGTCGGAAAGCGGTTCTGCGCGTTGAGCTTCCAACCTGGTTCAATGTAGTCACGTTCATCCACGGTGGCCTCGAGCTGAATGCTACCTGCTAACGGAAGCCGATGATCTCCTTCCTTGACAACTGTGGCTCCAACGAGTGACCTAGGTTCCCAATTGAACCAGTACAACCGGGGGCGTCGACACAACGACAAACCACCTGCGTCCACCAGCCAAGGATCCAAGCCGTACGCCTCCGACATGATTCGACAATCTTTGGCATCCATGGAAGCCACGTTCTCAATGAGGGTGTAGGTTGGACACCAGGTGAAGTGTCGCTTGATCATCCCCTCTATCCTGGGAACATGGGAAAACAAGCAGGACCGTACATCTCGCAGGGCGCCTCTCCGATCCGAGTTCAATCCCGACACCCCCTGACACGGAGGTCCCGCTCCTAACAGCACTGCGCAAACCCCCGGGAACCTCAGACACCAGCTAATGACCTCCTGTTCATCAATGCTCTGCACGTCCTCAATGGCTATCACCTCGGGAAACCAACTTTCAACTACCCTCCGGGCTTCAGGTGAGATCTCAGCAGACACGTACCCTGCCACAGGTACCTGCAATGAGTCAACGGCAACACGCAGCGCTCCAATGCCATCAAACAAAGAGACAACCAAGATGCAACCAACCTCATCCTGGGAGATCACATCTCCCCTACAACTGGCCATGCTTGCGGCGACTCCATACGGGCTTAGCTGCCGAGACACGCATAGCCCACCTCCTGTGGTGGAAGCATCACTTGCTGTGACCTTCTCTGAGATTGGCGTCCGAAAGTCCATGAAAGCCAAGGGGATCAGAGCAACGAAACGCAAGAGTTCATGCTCTACCTCCGGCCCAAGGGACGCCCTTTGGGTGGGCTTCAAGTCACTCAACTCAACCACGCGCTTCCAGATGGCATTCAGGCCTGCCAAGAGAGGGCGCCTAAACATGGCAATGTAGACGAAACCTCCTCCAATGACCTGAAGTTCACGCTGCGACGCCTTGCCCTGGATCACGGCCTCACACGCAAGCCTGACATACCTCATCACCTTATCAGGCTTGGGCCCGGCCCTACCTAGATCTCCATCCACCCATGCGCCTTGCACCTCAGCTTTGACCTCTTGAGTTACAGCTTTCTTCGGATGGCGGGGAAGACCTAGCGTCTCATAAGCTTGCCTCACTGCAAGGGTCCAAGCAGAAGGAGTGCCAGCCAGCACTTCGGCCAACTTCCGATCCACCTTCTTGAGCTCATCATAGTTATCTAAGTAGACCCGAAAAAGGTGTGGTGCACTGCTTGACGGTCGATCTCGCCTAATCTCTTGGTGTCCTGAGGCCAACCGGGATCCTCCTTTTAGAGCCTGATTGATCACCCTCCTATGCACATGCTGTGCGATGGCCACAGAATTGATGAACCCCATCGGCAACACCTGAGTAACCAGGTGCCACCCGCCTCCACAATAGCCACTTCGGAGGGCCTCACTGGGAACCTCCCGTCCAAACCCCGTGTGCTTCCACCAGCTGGGCGGTGTCCGGAACAAATAAAAGAAGCGCCTAATATCCTCCGATGATGTCACCAACAACTGGCTGTCTTCAAGGACGATCGACGACATGCCTACAACACTCGGAAGAGTTGAAGTATCTCCTATCAAGCTTCTACAGCATCCATTGGTAGGCACGAGGTTGAGTTCAAGTCTACAGACCTCGAAAACATCTCCCCGAGCATCAGTGGCCTGTTCTTGCTTGCTAACTGCAAACAGTCCGTTCAACAGAGGGCGTCCTCCTATATGATGTAGTTCGCTGACATGCATGAGTCGACACACACCCCGACGAACGAGCCCGGAACAAACCTCAGCCCAGTGGCGGGCCTCCGCCATGATGATGCTGGGCGCCTTTCCCAAATGCTGATCCTGAGGCGGCAAGAGAAACTCTTCAAAGTTCCTCACATAGGCCAGGGTGGCCGCCTCCACCATACGCCACTCGAATCGACATGCGACTTGTACGACCTCACCGGAGTAATCTACCGAGCGGGCTTTGAAGAACTCCCCAAAGTCAAGATGTGGCACCTCACACCCTCTCAGCTCTGACTCCTCAACCACTTTCAACAACCTATCAACCATATTCAACCGCGTTCTGTCCTCTCTCAACCTTTCAATGGTCCTTGTCCCATACAATGAATTCAATGCTTGCACCAATGCATCTGCACAAGAACCCTGGGAATTTATGACTTTCAGAGACGATGGAAGGGGCAAGGGGAAAAGGTCCCCTTTGGTCTCGCTGCAACACGCAAACATCTGATCTTGCACCTTCAACGCCTCTAAAAGTACCTTCCCAAGCTCCTCAAAAGTCATACTCTTTTTTCGACATGCTGTAGCAAGGTGATGACGGCGTTCTTCAAACGCCTGCCGCCTGCTTGAGTCCAGCACCGTCCTTCTCAACCTGCCCGGGGGCAGGGAGGTACATCCATCTGAAGCTTCTCCTCCCGGTGCACTCCTGTCAACGGCCAACCACCGACCTGAGCGCTGGGAGGCCCGCTCCCTTTTGGAGAAATCCTCTTCAACCAACGTCAACTCACCGCCTTCAGGCGTGCCCAATGCAACGTGTCCTACGACATCGCACTGGGAGCCCTGCGGCTCCCTTATCAAGCCCTCATATGGCGTGGTGCCAATCCGCTACCTCTTGCTCACGTCCTCTCTCTGCCTCAAGCCCTTCTCTCGACAATCCTCCAACAACCAGTCTATTGCCTTTGCTTCCTCTTTGTCTCCAGCCTCAACATGCATCTCCTCAGCTTCAAACTCATCCAGCCTCCTCTGTGCCTCTCCCATTTCCAAACCTCCACTTGTCCCTCTCTCAACGATGTCTTCTATCGTCGAAATCGACGTCATTCTTTCTGCTTGCTCTTCCCCTTTCCTTTCTTCCCTTTTTCACTCTTTCCTTTCTCGTTGAGGGGGACATAGCCATCTTTTCCGTTGCCACTTGGTGCCTCACCTGGATCTCGCCCTGCAGATCCATAGGGTCTCTGGGAGGCTAGCCTATTGCGTAGCTCCTCCCTTGCATTCCGTGCTGCCTCCGCTGATTCAGGTCCCTGACTGCTGCTCCAGCGCCTTCACCCGCTGTGCCAGCAGGTCCACAGTGCGAGCCACATGCCCTTGGAGCAAAAGGTCAGCGCCCTGGCATAACGTCAACAGCTCCTGGCACATCGAGGGCCCACATAGTCCTTGTAGTTCGGACCTGAAGTACTGCGAAAAGAGCGGCGGGAGGCTCCTCTTATCTTGCGAGTGAAGAGTCCCTGCAGACGTCAGCATGGCTTCCTTCATGCTGCTGATTGTTTGACATGCCAAGCTGCCAGGGAAGCGCCTCGTCAGCCGCAAAGCCTTCTTTCGCTCCTCAAACAGCCCCTCCTCCATCTCTTCATCGTCGCTGTCACCAGAGGAGGACGGTCTGCTGCCCTCTTCATCACTTGATTGCTTCCTCTTCTTGGAACTCTTACTGCTGAACCTTCGCGCCCTTTTCAGCAGCTTCAATCTTGAGTTCACTTCGGGGTCAAGGCAAGTGCCTCCAAAGATCATCTTCAAGGCCTTTTGCCCTCGTTCAAGGTCCTGGGCCTCTGGATCACTGCCCGCCTCATCTTTCTTCGCTGGAGGCTTGCTGAAGTCTTCTCCTTCTCCTTTGCCTTCTTCTTCTTTTTCTTTGCCTTCTTTTCACTCTCCTCACTGGGAGGCGTCTCCTCCCTCATCTCTTTCTTCCTTCGCTCCTCATGCATTGTTCGAAGCTTGCTCATCTCATCCTCTGCCTGCGGCTTCTTGTCCTCCTCCTCATACATAGTTTGCCACGGTTTCCTCTCGTCTTCAACCAGCCAATATCCAGCCGCATGGATGACATCCGGGCCTGACTCCTTTCGTCCACAACCAGGCTCACAGACATGCAGCTGAAAGATGCGCTTCTGAGGGTCGGACAGGAGCTCCGTCATGTGGTCTGACTGAGTGCCAGTGGCCCGGAAGCTCAAATATCCCTCATCCTTTCCAAGCCCTTCCACAAAGCCTGCCAACTTTATGTGCCCCTCATAGTAGGAGGCTTGCGCAAGCTCTATCAAACCCAGGGTCCTCAACTGCACGGCGGCGAGCTCCCTGAAATAGTGCAGTCGGGTCACCTTTTCATCCGTCCCTGCATGCCTGGCAGGTCGCTTCCGCGGGGCTGGTGCTCTAATGGCAGGCCTTGCACGGGGTGGCATTATCTCCTCTGGTTGTAAAGTTCTTGCTTCGCTCTGCGCGTCACTCCTTTGTTTTTCCCAACCCACCACCTAGGGTGGCTGGACCAGGGCACTCTCCCGATCCAACCAGGGCCTTGGCGTACGACTGGACGCCCTGGATTCCTCACGGGCGGCTTCCTGGCCGGGGGCTGTCGCACTGGGGGGCGCAGGCGGAGGCCCTGGGGGTGTATGTGGGCTAGGCGGACGGGCTGGTGACTTTGGCTTGGCCACCTCTGTTCGCCTCTCTTTCCGGATCGGGACCTCCTCCTTCGACGCTCTCTCTCGGCGCTCTCGCCTCTTTTTCTTCTTCTCTCTGCCTCTTGAGCTGGGAGAGGAACTTGACCTCTCCCTTTTCTTCCTCCTCCTGGATCTGTCCCGCTTGGCTTCACGGGGCTCCTCAAGCTCTCCTGCACTCTCAACTGCTGGTGCGGGGGGAGTTCGACTGCTCTTGGACGAGGTGGTCGCTGGTTTCGTGGATCGCTCAACTGTGGGGTCTGGATCTCTATGGCTCGGCCGGGGCACCCGGACTGTCTGGGAGCTGTAGCCTCTATCGGCGCTCCCTTGAGATGTCGCTGGTGCTGGCGGAGGAGGAGGTAGGGCCGGCTTGCCACTGGCCCTGCTGGAGCTGGATGGGCAATGCTGGTTCTTCTGGCTTTCGGCTGGTCTTGTAGGGGGATCGGCTGGTCGACTGGCTGTTTGGGGGCTCTCGGTCTTCTTTGATCCTTCTTCCTTTCTCTCGGGCTTGTCTTGGGGCTTGTCCTCACGCTTGGCCTTGTCCTTGGCTGCTTTCTCGCGTTCACTCAGCCCTCGGATTTTGGTGAGCCAGTCCTGGAGTAAACTGAAGCAGCCTTCGAGAAAGACGACTGCGGATTCGTCCTTCCCGGGAGGTACCACGTTCCTCAGTGATACCTGTAACTGGTATGCCTTACGGCAGGGACCACAGGTGGCCACCGCTTGGTCTCTTACGACGAAGTGGCGGCACCTGTCGCAAACTGGGAGAGGGGGATTGCCCCCCCTCTCCCATTCACCCTTCCTCTTGAGCCCCAATGCTACGGTGAAAATATAACCGACTCTGTGATTAATCATGGGGTCATAAGATCATAGCCGCACGAAACTCCAAACATCCTAGGATCCCCCCGCCAAAAGCTATGCCTGGGCGGTGATGACGAACCAAGCACTTGTTCTTCCCCAATATCATTGTGGGCGCTAGTGGAACTAAAGGCTATGGCGGTTATGTCTGTGTTCCTTGAAGCCTAGCAAGTACATCGTAGAATTGCAAAGGGGATTCAGCCAGACAGTCACTAAAGTCGAAGTTTAGAAGTTACAGTTCACAGTGCTGAGTGCTGAGACGTTTCAAGGTCATCGTAGGACCATGCAATAGCTGGTAACTTGCTCGTTATCTGGGATTCCCTCTCCCTAAGTAGGCTCAATATCCACCCAGTCACCTGTGATTCTATGGATGCGTCGCGCAATCTTCAGACCCAGTTGGAAGGGGCTCAGCAGAGGGACCCAGATTTGGGACTATCTCCGAACGACTTCCATTGCTTGCCCAGCACTACTTGGATTGTGCAAATCCTCAACGAACGCTGGGATCCATTATGCTCGCATGTGGAACACTCTCCGTTCTCACTGACTACCAGTACTCCAGAATACAGATGCATTGATCTATTGTTGCAGACTCCCAGCCCTCAGCTCCACCTCACCTGACGGCGCCGCCGGACCCGCCTTCCGCCGCGGAGCCGCTGCGCCGCTCCCGGGAATCGCTCCGTTCCCGGCGCCGGGAGACCCGTTGGGAGCTGCGGGGGCCTTGGTGCCACGTGCGGAACATGACAGAACTGCTGCAGAACTGCTGCATGCCTTGTGGAGAACGGAGTCTGCCTAGAGGTTCTCAGAATTTCGATAGAATGGTTATGCGGGTTATGAGTCGTTCAATGTTAATCGTCCAAGGAAAACAACACAAATACTGTCAACACGCAGCATTCCTGTATGTTCTCGGGGCACGCTCAACATAAGATTGCAGCAGTGGATTAGGAACTGCTGCGCCCTCCAAATAGAGTCCACTGAGTTTGCCTGTCATGAACAAGATTGAACAAAGGGTGCCTTCCGTCTCCCACATGGTGCTTTTCGGGTTTGTCAGGCAAAATGCATTCCTTATTTTATGCTTGCTGGAGGTAGAGTAGAATGAATTGAACAAGTTCGTCAACAGTTGCAACTCTCATCTTGCTAGTGCTTCCACGTCACGAACTTCAGAGTAGTTGCATGCCAATGTACTGTCTCTGTGTATATACGTGTCTGAACTCCAATGCAACTCTGAACAGGTGTTTCACGTATCCACTCCAGCAGGGATTTGCTGGGTGACCATGGGTTCCTGGCTATTTGAGCAGCATTTCAAGTGCTGGAAGCTGCATTCGATGGGATGCTAGGTTTATTTGAGGGGATCCCTTTCCCTTTAATTGTTCTATGGCAGCGATGATGATGATGATGATGATGATGATGATGATGATGATGATGATGA